AGGAGGGCCACAGGGAGTAGGGGCAGCTCTGACTCTTGAGTCCCCAAGAAGGACTGGTAGGTGGAGCTGAGGATGTTTGGACAAGGAGATTCTTTGAAGCTTTTCTCTCGTCCTCCCTACTCTGGACCTGGTCCCCTCCCCTCCATAAAGCCATTAGCTTCTGGTGCCAGCCCTATCTCTGCTCCATCTCTCTTGGTTCCAGTCGGTGCGTTCACAGACCCCCTGCCCTGAGGGACCCGGAGGATTTATGGGGGGTAGAGGTTAGAGGGGGAGGGGTCATCCTTTAGAGGAGGGGAGGTCTGGTTGGGAAGTAGGGAAGTAGCTGTTAGTCCTCTGGGTTAGAGACCGGATCATTTCCGAGCTGGCTCTGCATGACAAAGGGGAAGACGCAAGTTTCTTCTTTGATCTGCTCCCTGCCAACCCGACACACCTGCCTGTTGATGCCCTGGCCCAGCTGAGACCTCAGGAAGAAAAACCAAAAGGGGGTGGGGTCAGGCTGTGGGCCAGCTTCCCTGGATCTCCCTCAGGCCACCTTGCTCTCTTGGTGGCCCCAGGACAAAAAAATATCTGCCAGGCTGATGACCCAAAGCACCTGCCGCCCCCTCTCGGAGAGCCGGGTGCCCCAGAGCTGCGCGGTGAGATGGGGGTGGGGGCGTTGGGAGCGCGTGCAAGCGTGTGTTTGCGTGTGTAAGGTTGGAGGCGTTAAGGGGTCGTGGGAAGAAGACTCACTGGGGCTGAGTGGTCACGCCCTGGATGGAAGCCAGGCGAGGGTGAGCCAGAGGGGCGTGTTTTTATACTTGCTCCAGGATCCAGAAGCTGGATTTTCCGTATGTTTTCAAGGACTCCAGGAAAGGTGTTGGGGGGGGGGGATATAGGCGTAGGCGGTGGTTCCAAAAAGCTGGATGCAAAGATGCTGGAGGCTCTCCTGCTACAAGGGGTGGGGTTGTTGCTCAGCACAGATGGTGGAGGCAAGGGTTGCAGATGTCGAGCTGGAGGTGCCTTCACTCTGCTGTCGGTGCTGCTGGGACACTGGGTCGCTGAGGACAGGAGAGGGGATGAGGGCCACCTATGAAGGCACACCCCAGCCTCCAGGGCTTTAGGGCCCCAGTTCGCTGTAGGCTTTTACATTTCTCAGAGAAGTTGCCTTGAGAAAGTGAAAAGTCTCCTGGCCTTCTCCCTACTATTATTACTCCTGGTAAACAAAGGTTGGGATTTAGAAAACTTGTTTAAAGTGAGGTTACTGATTAAGAGGGAAGATTCCGATTTGGCTGTAGGTCAGGCCAACTCACCAATTGTTTTTTAGCCCCACAAAAGAGAGCCTGGTGGTTAGAGAGATCCACCTCTGACTGGCGTGGGAGGTAAGGGGAAGGGCAATGGGATGGTTCTCGCTTTTGGAAGGGCAGGTGTGCACTGCAACAGCCAACGCTCTTCCTAAATGCTGCATAGAGTGCGCTCTGTTCTTGAAGTGGTGTGTTTCCATTTCTCTCTTCTTGTTTCTCAGCTCATTGTTTCCTTTGGAATTAGGCCTTGAGTGGGGTCTTCGCAATCTGGGCTAAGAGGCATCAAGGTGGTCCTGTGGTGAGATGAGCAGTCGGAGATGGAGGTTGGAAAGAGGCTGAATTTCTTTGGGAGAGCAGAAAGCGGCATTAGACCCATCCCAGAGCTCACTCCCCTGTCTTCTGGTCCTCCCCTATCCGTCGCATAGCCACGCTGATTCTCCCTCCATTTCTGTTTTCCCAGGAAGTCCAGTTTTGGAAGCCGACAGTCCCAGGGGTCTACCCAGGACACTGGGGAGGGCTGAGGCCGACCATGCCCGGCCTGCTGCTGCTCGCCGCTGCGCTGCTGTCCAGCTGGGCTCAGCTCCCAGCCGAAGCCAGCTCCTGGTGGTGAGTGAGGGGCTGAAGTCCTACTCTACAACCTACGCCTCCTTTGGTAATTGAAATGTGGAGAAGGTCACCATGGGTCGTGATCATTTCTTTACTCATAGGAATCCTAAGGACCTCTTTTATCCCAGAAAATCTAGCACCACCCTTTTTCTCTCTCAAGCCCCCAGAGGTAAAGTTTCCACAAGATAAAGGATTAGTTCATTTGGCTTTTTCTCTGATCTTGTCTGCATTCCCATTTGCCTGGCTCTTCCTCCATCCCCATGGGTGGTTAGAAATCTCTCTTTTGTTGCTACTGGATGGAATATTGATTTTTTTTTTTCTGGTGGGGGCAAGGAGAGTAGAATTTCTGTTTTGTAAGCCCGATGACCAGATGAGGGATTTGCAGGACCATGTATGGCTTTCTTTTTATGTTTTAAGACTATTGTCATTGCCAAGTCAACATGGAAATGGCAGGCATTCACCATCTGTTCTGCGTGGTCCGTGTCCTGCTCACACTTTACTCAGATGGCAAATGTAGAGCTTTCTCATCTGACTTAACACTTTAATGTATCTGGTGAATGATAACGAAAAAGGAGAGCCCTTGAACTGATAAAGAGTGGGTTGGGGGGGGGGTCAGGTATGGAAGTGAAAACATTTAGAATATATTGCAATGCATGTAAATGAGATTCAATTTTAAAGGCATAAGGGGAAGTTCTGTCTAAGTGAATTCATTGTTTTCCATCGCATATCCTGCACGTGGGCCAAGGTGAACTAATCACTCCTGCTCCTTGAATGAGTCAAGCGCTCTCCTGTTGAGGTTTGGCGCTTTTTGCCCTCTGCCTCAAATGAATATAGCCTGCCCTTTCTGTCGTGTTCTCCTTCTGCCCCATGCCCTTTAAGACCCAGCTCACACTCCGGCCATCTCCTTATAAAAGTGTCTCCCGAGCCCTGGCCTGGTGGCTCTGTTGGTAGGAGCATTGTCCCCTACACCAAAAGCTCGTGGGTTCGTCTCTGGCCAGGGCACATACCTGGGTTGCTGGTTTGCTCCTGTGGCCCCTGGCATGTGTAGGAGGCAACTGACCAATGTGTCTCTCTCACATCAATGTTTCTCTCTCTTTCTCTCCCCCTCTCTCCCCCTCCCCCACCCTCTCCATTCCCCTCTCTATCTCTAAAAAAATCAATGAAAATGTCCTCGGGTGAGGATTTAAAAAAATAAAATGTTTTTAAAAATAAATAAATTGTTTAAAACAAAAAAGCTTCTCCCCAGCTGTAAGAGCTCTTCCCCTATCTGATCACTCTGGATCCAGAAGCTCAAGTCTGCCTTAGGCATCTGACATCTCATGTCATGTTTGTGCCTCAGTTTCCCCAGTTTTCTTTCTTTTTAAAAAATTTATTTTAGAAGGAGAAAGAGAGAAAGAGAAAGAAACATTGATGTGAGAGAGACATTTCGATCCGTTGCCTCCTGTAGGTGCCCTGACTGGAGACTGAACCCACAGCCTAGGTATGTGCCCTACCTGGGCACTGAACCCACAAACCAGGTGCATGCACTGACAAGGAATGAAACCCATTACATTCTGGTGCATTGGACGATGCTCCAACCAACAGAGCCACACTGGCCAGGGCTCCCCAATTTTCTTTTCCTAGCCCTTAGCGCAAGGCCTTATTCAGAGAAAGCACTCAGTAAATATGTTGAATGAATGACTTACTGCTGCACACGGGCAGGTGCTCACTCCTTTCCCCTTTTTGAATTGCTGCTGTAGGTCATTAGCTATGAACCCAGTGCAGAGACCTGAAATGTTCATCATCGGTGCCCAGCCTGTGTGCAGCCAGCTTCCTGGGCTCTCCCCTGGACAGAGAAAGCTGTGCCAGTTGTACCAGGAGCACATGGCCTACATAGGGGAAGGAGCCAAGATGGGCATCAAGGAGTGTCAATACCAGTTCCGGCAGAGACGGTGGAACTGCAGCACAGTGGACGACACGTCTGTCTTTGGGAGGGTCATGCAGATAGGTGAGTGGCCACCAGACGTGGCTTGGCTGAAGGAGCTGTGCTCACCTGGCCTGGGTGCAAGCATGCTTTGTCAGGAGGGGGGCAGAGAGAGTCCCCCTGAGTGTCTAAGTGGGTTCTCTCAAGGCTTGGAATTAGCCTACAAGGAGAGGGGGAGATGCACACAGAAAGCAGAGTTGCAGCTAATGTGTTAGCTGCACAGCTCAGTGCTCAGCTAACCCTCTGCTTCCAGCTTCACCCTGTCTGGGGCAGCCTGCATGACTCACTCTGGGAAGGGCTCAGACCATCTGAGTTGAGTTAGAGTGAATTAGGAAACCCGCCCACCACCAGTGCCCTTTGTCTCACTCAGCACAAGGGCCTCCTTTGAGAGCTTGCCCTAAATGTCTGTAGGTTTTTTGCCTCTTCCACTTGGACCCCAAGAGAGATAGAATCTTTGGGCCAAATTGGTGATAGCTGTCATTAACCCAACCCAGATCCAGTCCTGGCTTTTTCATTTGAAAGGGGGGGTGTGAAAGTGGGGGAAGGGGACAGACTGTAGAAGAAAGATGAGAGGACCACTCTTCCCAGATTCCTCTTCTCTCCCCTCTCCCACTCCAGGTCTAGGATTCTTTGGCTGCCCTGTTGCTTAGATAGAGGTGTGATCTGTGGTCTAATTGTTTTAGGTCCTTTTGAAATGTAATTCTCCTCTCCCTGGCAAGAAATTGAGAAATCCGGCCCTATTCTACTGGGTCTTATCCCCAGGGTCATAAAAGGAAGGTGTTAGGGCACTGAAGTCCCTGTCTCACATTCTCTCAGAACAGCTTGCCTCAAAAGACATTCTGGAGTTACCTAAGGCTGCGGTTTTCCCAAAGAACGACTTTAGCAGCAGGGGAGGTAGGGAGTTGAGATTCCGTTCTCCTCTATGATGGATACTTGGAAGGCCCGCTCCCTCTCCTGACCTCTTTCCCCTGCCTCCCCCGCCCCATATTGAGAAGTAAGGACCAGGGAAAAGTACACTTTGAACCTCATTTCTCCCTTCCTTCAGTGTCAACTCGAGATTCATAAAAGGAATGTTTCTGTGTTCCCATGACAGTCTTACTGGGCAACTTTCCCAATAGAATGGACTTGAGGGTTAAGTGAGATTTGGTGATAATTTATCAATTCTTCTCAAATATACTTAGTGTCTGTCCCTCCTTCCTGGGCTTCTGGTGAGGACACAAGGAAGGCCCAGGTATAGAGAAAGGCACCCCCTAATCACTTTAAGAGAATAACCTAATGTATACCTGGTGCTGGCTAGATCCTTTCCATGTGTTATTTTGTTTGCGCGAAGGCCAAAAAATGAGGCTTTACTTTAGAAAGAAAGCGTTGGCTGGAGTAGAAACTCTGCTGGGTACAGGTTTGAATGGTAGAATGACTTGTGAAAGCAGACCCTGTTCTGTGCCCTGTTCTGTTACAAATGGAACCCTCCTGTTTGCCTTATTTTCACCATTCCTTTTTGTAGCTTCCCTGCAGGCTTATGCTCCCTGGGAAGCTGTCCTCCACCCCTCCCTCTTGGGGCCCACATAGCTCCTGGTGAGTCCTCTCACTGCTGTCTTGTGTGTGACTTCCAAAAGATTCCTTCCTTCTTTGAAGCGGCTGCAAAAGTCCACCACCAAAGGGCAGCAGAGCAACTCAGAGGGAGCCACTGACCCTTCACCCGGTCTCCACCCAGAGGAGCATGGAGGCAACTTCCTGGCAGTTGGAACAGAGAAGGCATGATATTGTCCTGTCGTTTCCTGTTGTCCTACTAGAGTAAGGTCTCTCTAGTAGCTCTAGTAGCTGCTGGTGTAATAGCCCTTTTCCTTGTGATGGTTTGAGTTTCCACTCTGAATTGTTTCGTATAGAGATTCCCCACTCCGCATTGCTTATCCATTCTGAAGCCCCAAGCAATCTCTTGCTTGCTGAGAATAGCACTAGTAGCCTGTACTTACCGAAGACCCAAATGCCTGTGAAGGCAGAGCCACCTGCACTCAGGATCTAATGATGCCTCCTGCCAAAAGATGCAGAATGACTGCAAGAGACAGCTGATTTACTCGAGGACAGATTGGGACCCCAAATCATGCTGATAGGCAAGGACCACCAGAGCACATAATGCCTGTGATATTACGCTCAGCTGCAGGAGCACTATTTTAAAAGGCAATTCTGAGCAGGGTGATTCAGCCCTGAAAAACATGTTTGCTAAAGAATGGAAGAAGAAATTAGACATATGTAGCTTGGAAAAGAGAACACATAAAAGGCATCTTAGTTGTTTTCAAATACTGAAGGGCTGTCATATGGAAAAGGGATTGGATGGTGTATCTCCAGCAGGCAGAAGTTATAGGGAGGCCTATTTCAGCTTAATATAAGAATGTTCTGGTGATTAGAGTCATTAAAAAAAGATGGAATGGATTGCTTTGAGAATCCAACCCACTTCTCTGAGGAATGCTGTGAAAGGAATGCTCACAGAATGTGGTGCTGGGCTGCAGCTTCAGAGGCTCCTTCCTGTCCCCGGATGCCAGGTCAGGGGGTAGAGGCCCCATTTTAATAAGACTTCTCAGGCATGACTCCCTCTTGCTGAGTCTCTTAACCACCTTACTGTCCTGGAAGCTCACACTCATAGCCTGACTCCCCTAGACCAGATAGATCCTGGTCTCTGGCTCAGCACTGACTCAGATGTCAAGCCTGATGGCTGAGTCATGAATGTGACTTCCTGTATCTCTGGGTTTTTCTTGGGCTGCTCCTAGTCCACAACTGACCAGAAGCTGACCCCTGGTTAATTGAGAAAAATTGATTTGCCCAGTGTGGTTGCAGACTTCACTGTGCTGTGCTTAGATAATCAGAAAGTAGGGTAAGGTGGGAGATCACTCTAGACCTAATAATGATTACACACTGCTTCCCTCTCCACCTGCCAAGACAGAATTGTGGCGTGTCTACTTCTGCCCACGGAGAGCAGAAATCCTGTCTGGTTTAATAGCTGAGATCAGGATTGAATCTCAGTTTCCTGCTGAGAACCACTCCCTTCCTTCCATTATTGAGTCCATAGATGAGTGTTATTTATTATTTCTTATAATAGCTTTATTGAAATATAACTCATGTACCATATAATTCACCATTTAGTATACAGTATACAGTTCAGTGTATACATAATAGTATACAGTTCAGTATACAGTATACAGTTCAGTGTATACATAATAGTATACAGTTCAGTGTATATTCACAGGATTGTGTAACCAGCACTACTATCTGATTCCAGAACCCTATAAAGAAATTGCATACCCATTAGAGGTCACTCTTCATTTCTTCCCTCTCCTCCTCAAACCCTCGGCAACCACTAATCTTTCTGTCTTTATGAATTTTCATATTATGGACATTTCATGTAAATGGGATCATACAATATGTGACCTTTTATATCAGGTTCAATATAGACACAAAATGCTAAGTGGTTCACTTAGCATAGTAATTTCAAGGTTCATCCATATTGTAGCATGTACCTGTACTTAATTAGTTTTTTAAAAATATGGTTTTTTAAATACGTTTTTTAATGTTTTACTGAATTTTAGAGAAAGAGAAAAGGAGAGGGAGAGAGAGAGAAACATCAACTGGTTGCCTTCCGTATGTACCCCAACCAGGGATTGAACCTGCAACCTGGCTATGTGCCCTGACTGGGAATCAAACCAGCAACCCTTTGGTGCATAGATGATACTCAACCAACTGAGCAGCACCAGCCAGGGCTTAACTATGTTTTACTAATTTTTAGACAGAGAGGAAGGGAGAGGGAGGGAGAGATAGAAACATCGATTGGCTGCTTCCTGCATGCCCCCTACTGGGGATCGAGCCTGCAATCCGGGCATGTGCCCTGACCAGGAATCGAACCAGCGACCTCTCGGTGCATGGGACCATGGTCAACCAACTGAGCCACACCAACCAGGGCTGTATTTTATTACTTGTTATGGCTGGATAATACCCCATTGTATGGATAATACCACCTTTTGCTTACCCATTTACCCGCTGATGGACAATATGGATTGTTTCTCCTTTTTGGCTATTATGAATAATGCTACAGTGAACATTCATAAGTTTTTGTGTAGACAGATGTTTTCCTTTATTTTGGATATATTTTTAGGAGTGGGATTGCAGGGTCATATGGTAATTCTCTGTTTAACCTTTTGAGGAGCTGCCAGACTTCCCAAAGCAGCTGCACCATTGAACGTTCCCACCAGCAGTACATGAGGGTCCCAGTTTTCCTGTACCCTCCCCAACTTGTTAGTTGTCATTTTGATGATAGCCATCCTCATGCATGTGAAGTGGTGTCTCGTTGTGATTTTGATTTACATTTCCCTGGTGGCTGAGTATTATTTTTTATAAACATTTTTATTGAATTAGAGCATACATCATCTGGGTTTTTAAATGCTTCACTAGAGCAATAGAAGGACACAGCTCAACTTTTCTACTAGAAATGATCTGGGTATTTAGAGAGACCCTGCTGAGTGAATGCCCCATAGATGTGGTTCCCAGTTCCCTGGAGTTAGGAGGCAGTGTGGACCCTATGGAAGGCAGGAGACAGCATGGATGATCTGGATGTTGTAATTCTAGTTCACTTTCTACTCCTGCTCTCTGCCACTGTCTAGGTAGGTAATGGCAGCAATAAAAAGACATATGTGTGGCTCATAGAGTGAAAAATTGGCACCTGTGAGGGAGAGATTTTTGTGAGGATAGAGTCCCATGGTTTCTACTTAGTCTCATTCTCTTGGTCTCACGTGTTTCCTAAATTCCTCGATGTCCACTCTCTCCTGCCTTGAGGTCTGCTGATCATATAAACTTCTGGAATGGATGTTAGTGTAGGCCAAGGGCTGGAGGGAGTCGCTCTATTTGGTATGTCCATAGGGCAGAGGAGGCAAATTTCAGCTCATTGTCAAGAGAAGTTTCGAACCATTAGAGCCATGGGGAGTGAAGGGCGCCCCTTCCCGATGTTGCTTCCCCCCCGGGAGCGTTAGGGCTGAGGCTTCAGCAGCGTGGGTCCGGAGGAGGCAGAGGGCAGGAGCCTCCGCTAGAGGCTGACCGCCGCCGCCGTCTTGCCTTGTCTTGCAGGGAGCCGGGAGACGGCCTTCACCTATGCCGTGAGTGCCGCGGGCGTGGTGAACGCCATCAGCCGGGCCTGCCGAGAGGGCGAGCTGTCCACGTGTGGCTGCAGCAGGACAGCGCGGCCCAAGGACCTTCCCCGGGACTGGCTGTGGGGCGGCTGTGGGGACAACGTGGAGTACGGCTACCGGTTTGCTAAGGAGTTTGTGGATGCCCGGGAGCGGGAGAAGAACTTTGCCAAGGGATCGGAGGAGCAGGGCCGGGTGCTTATGAACCTGCAGAACAACGAGGCGGGTCGAAGGGTGAGCTGGACCCCCCACTCCCCCACCCCCGTCCCTCCCCTCAC